CAGGGTATTAGACACGTGGACCATTTTGGGTTTATCTGCCGAGAATCATCAGGAGGGGGAGGCTTTCATTTCGTGTGTTATGTGTTCCAGTGCACAAATGAAGCTCTGGTAAGCCAGAACGAACAGTTCTTACCTTGAAACCTCAACTACAGGAAATTCCAACCTCACTAATTTTTCTTTCCTTAGCAAAATCTCATAGCCTCATCGACATATCATTATTTGGCTTTCATTATTCATTTGTGACTATTGGATAACTAGTTGGGAGGCATCTGAGACTAATTTGGGTGTGCATTTTCAATTTTCATTATTTTCGAAGAACCTGCTCACTTTCACCCTCACTTTTAGCAATTTTAAAATGTCATTTTGGACTTTCAGTCAGAGGAGTTAGCTTTTTCATTCAGTATTTAATTTGTGGTTTTGGTTTTTTACCTTATCTCCTTTCAGAACCCTGAGCATCTAGGTAGTATTTCACAGACTGTAATCCTAGCAGATATTATGATTATTATTCGTCAACCTGTGACTAATAGTCCAGAAAACTCTTAAAATACTAAGTCTTTCCACTGAGTTCTGAAATTTCAACCCAGCTCGCTTTAAATTGACTTTCTGCTAGCTACACTCTCTCTTCTCTTTGATCAGGTTGATGAGATTATGATGACCCTGAAACAGGCTTTCACGGTGGCTGCAGTGCAGCAGACCAAAGCGCCAGCCCAGCTGTGTGATGGCTGCCCCCTGCAGGGCCTGCACAAGCTCTGCGAACGGATAGAGGGTGAGTAGGGGCCCCTCTTGAGCTTTAACGTAGCGGGAGTTAAAGGTCCCAGGAAAACTAGATGATCTGTTGAAAGGTTCTGCCTAACAGAGCCTTGCATCATAGTTGCTGGGATTGTAGGTAAACTTCCAACATGCAGTCTGTGTCTTTCATGTGCCAGGTTTGTGCTAGGTGCTCGGGATTTGAAGATGAAATCCCATATCCTCTTCTACTATCTCCCCTCCAAGGGGCTCTGAGGGTAGCGGAGGAGTTGGAGGAAAAGGTTACAAAGCCATTCGCGTTGTTAATCAGGGTGGTGTGAGTGGTTAGTCACATTGGCCGCTGTAGAGGGATCTAGTAAGATGAGAACTAAAGAACTTCCTTCCACTAAGTGTCTCAGTTTTGATGAGCAGTTTTAATGGAGTGGAGGGGGCGGAAGACAGGTTGCAGTTGAGGACCAAGTGGGAAAGACTAAAAGAAGTGGTGACTGAGTATGGACTACAGTTTCTGGAAATTTGACTTAAGGAGAAATATAATGTTATGATTTGCAGCGTTATTTATTGAGTACTTCAAATGTAGCAGGCACCATGCTGAGTGTTCTTTTCTCACATGTATTCTGATCCATTTAATCCTCACCACATTGTGAGAGGGAAAGGCACTATTTATTTTGTACATCGTCAGGATAAGTAAGTTGAAGATTAGTGACAGCTAAGCGTAAACTAGTGTAAACTAGGAATAGGCTAGTTCAGGAGTGAGCCCCAGGTAGGAAAGCCCCAGCCATTACCTGCCACCCAAGCTGTCCTCCCAGGCGAAGGCCATCCTGAAGGAAAACCCAGCTGACTTTGCTTTTTACAATTGAAGGGGTTTGAACAAATTCAGAGCCTGAGGGACCACACAGGTCAGACTGGAATGGAGGACATCCCTCCTGAACAGGGCTGGGGAACCTGCCTCGGGCAGGAAGAGAGAAGCTCTCTGTCCCTGGGACAGCAGAAGAGGCCCCGGGGCAAAGGCCGAACCAAGGCGAGGGTGAAGTGGTGGTGGTGTTGCTCCTCAGAGGAAACCGAGAAGTCGAAGGGTTCCTTCCTCTCTCTTCTTCATTTTGCATTTTGTTCCATTTATGGGAGGATTTCTAAAACTTTTTTTTGGCACATGGTTTTGTGGGGAATCACAGATTTAAGCAACCCATGTTATTGTTAAAAAAAAAAAAGATGGTTCGATTGTTTCCCATGTCTCTTTATAAACTCTATTTGTGTAAAGGAAAATTACATTACTATTTAAATCTGATTTCTTTTTTTTTTATAATGGTGGTAAAAATGCACATAACATAAAATTTATCATTTAAACCTTTTTTAAGTGTACAGTTCAGTGGCATTAAGTGCATGCACATTGCTGTGCAGCCGTCACCACCGTCCATCTCCAGTACTTTTTCATCTTTTCAAACTGAAACTTATTAAGCATCAACTCCCAATTTCCCCCTCTCTCCAGCCCCTGGCAATACCATTCTTTCTGTCTCTATGAATGTGACCGCTCTAGGTATTTCATATAGGTAGAATCATACAGTATTTGTCCTTTTGTGTCTGGCTTATTTATTTAGCGTAATGTCTCCTAGGTTCATTCACAGTGTAGCATGTGTCAGAATTTGATTTCTTTTTAAGGCTGAATAATATTCCGTTGTGTGTATATACCACGTTTTGTTTTTCCATTCATCCGTTGGTGGGCATTTGGGTTGTTTCCCCCTTTTGGCCATTGTGAATGACGAGGCTGTGAATGGTGCTGTACAAATACCTGTTAAGGTATCTGCTTTGTATTTTTTTTTGGGAAGATACCCAGAACTGGAGTTGCTGGATCATATGGTAATTCTGTGTTTAATTTTTTGAGAAGCTGCCGTACTATTCTCCATAGTGACTGCACCATTTTATATTCCTCTTGGCAATATCTCCATGTCCCCACCAACACTTGTTGCGTTCTGTTTTTTATTGTTTGTTTGTTTTTATGATAACCATTCTCATGGGTGTGTGTGACATCTGATTTCTCTTTTTATATGAAATAAATTGACAATTTTCATCTTAAGGTTCTTGAAGTCTTAGTTTCTGGCATTATAGCTCTCTTTAAAATGAATTAAAACGATTAATATTTTCAGCTGTGTTTTACTGAGTTTTCCTAGTTGCTACTATTTGCTGATATTATACAAAATATATCTGGGAACAAGAAAAGTTGTGCTTCAACTAGAGAAACCATCTGAGAGGCTCACTAACCCTTTCCTAAATGGTCGTCAAGAGAAAATAAACGATCATGGCAATGTCCCTTAAAAGCTTAGTAAGAAGCCAGCACTGACTTTAGCTTTTAAAATAAAGCAGACCGTGATCTGTAGGAACTGGAAGTGTTTCAAAGTTCCACTTGATAAATCTTTGTTTGATCTGGCTTTCAGAAAGTTATAGCTGAAAAGTTTAATCAGGGTAGAGATTTTATAGCTTTTGTTTTGGAATTATCATTTAATTCATCTTTTTACCTGATAAAATCCAAGCAAAGCAGAAAGCTGTGGTAATGTAAAAACATCCATTAAACAGCATGATCAGATGGCTGGTGAGGGTATGTTTTGCCTACATGATGAGAAGCATTTTTAAAGTACAGTTGGTGCATTATTAGAGGCATTCTTAGGAGGGGAAATGCTGGTTACTTTATGAACAGTTTGAGGCCCCTCCTTTTTGCTATGCAGAATTCTAATAAGTGGAATGAAGTGGTTTATTAAAGCTCATTGCACGTTATGGGAACTTGTTGTCTGGCCGAGAACTCTGTAAACGGTGGCCACAAAAAGAAAGACTTATAGATTGTGTTATGTTAATGGATATAGTGATGCTATGCCCTGGAATGTATGAATTTGAATAAATGCACCGTACATATTAATTACACTGGATACTCTAACGTGCACGTGTAACATGTGAGAGGTACAGCCATGCTCAGGTCTGTGTTTGAACTGCGTACCACTGCTGGTAGTATTTACATAGTATTTCGCTTAAAGATTAGAGGAGCGTTTTCAGAATTACTAGAATGAGTTATACTTTCACTAAAAAGAAAAAAAGCAGTTGAACTGAGGTTTTCCTTTGCTCCCTAAGTGAATTTGCCTCTGGCAAAGCCAAGCCATCCATCAGAGCTCCCAAGGCAGCCTCATTAACAACTCGCCTGGAGGGATTGTAGTTCCAGAATGCCCTTGACTCTGGGTACCTTTTTCTGTGTTGTTCTTTGCCTCCCTTTTACCTAATGAATAGATCTGTTGAAGACAGGATCTCTTCATACCTGCTAGATATGAAGAGTAGTCTGTATTACTTGATTTCACCTAAGATTGTTAGAAGCATATAATTAATTGAATTCTTCATAGAGCTTGGGGTTTCTCTCCACATGTGAATGAATGTCTCATCAGACAATATAGTACGCCCAAAATAGGATGTTTACGCTGTGTCAGAAACATTGGGAGGTTTACTGAGGGCTTCTTTTACTGTAAATTTAAATACTATTTTGATTTAACATGTGAGTAGTTAGTCTAGTCAAATCATCTGTCTCCTGGCTTCTGTGACCTAGCAGCTTGCTGGAAGAGCTCCCGAACTGTGCGCTCTGACAAAACCCATTTATCCTTTCTGCTCTCTTATCCACCCGTGAATTCACTTTGGTATTGAAGCCCCGTGTGACTCTCTGGATAAAGGGAGTGTTAAAGACTAATCTCTGAACCAGATATGTTTCAAATTCTGACTCTCTCTCTTACTTGGCTGATGACCCTGGACAAAATACTTGACTTCACCATGCCTTAGTTTCTTCATCTATATATTGGGGTTGCTAAAAATAGAGCCCACTTCTAGGATTATTTTTAGAATTAAATGAGATTATGCGTATTGTGTTGAGTGAAGTGGCTTAGCAGTCACTTAAGAAATATTGGCCTTTATTTTATTTTTATAGTAGCCTCTTAGGGTTTTCTTAGCAAAAAAAACCAAAAAAAAAACCAAAAAAAAAAAACAAAAATCAAAAACAAAAACAATGTGGTAGGGAGGAAGGACTTCCGGGATGCTGAGATGGCTGCAGCAGTTTGAATCAGGGCAGCAGCCTCACCTGCTAGGAGACGGGGGCTGTGCCTCAGCTGCACTCGTTGGTGGCGGAGCTCTGAGGCAGGCTTGGCTGCCGGTTGTTGGCTCCTGATCTTGGACAAGTTACCTGGTTTCTCTAGACCTCCGCAAACTCATCTGTAAAACAGAGATGTGATTTCCAGGTCCCTGTTCCAAATTCGAGAAGTGTCCTTTCCTGACCATCTTCAGTTGTATAGATGCAGCCACACTGTTCTGCAGCTTCTGGAGAACAAGGCCAAGCCTCTGCCCAGGGTCTCACTCTCGGGAGGAGGAGAAGAGAGTGACAAGTGGATAAGGAGAGGGCTGTCCTTGGAATAAAAGTACAGACATACCTCGGAGATGTTGCAGTTGGGTTTCAGATTACCACAGTAAAGCCAATATCACAGTAGAACGAGTCACACAAATTTTTTTTGTTTCCCAGTGCATATAAAAGTTATGCTATATTATATAATAGCATTATGTCTAAAAAAACCACGAAGGTATGTATCTTAATTAAAAAATGCTTAAATGCTAAGAAATGCTATCCGTCATCTGAGCCTTCAGCGAGTTGTAATCTTTTTGCTAGTGGTTGCCACAAACCTTCAATTTGTAAAAAACGCAATATGTACAAAGTACAATAAAGCAAAGTGCAGTAAAACAAAATATGTCTGTAATCTGCAGCCATTTTTTTCAGGGTAGTTTAGGTCAGTAAATCCTTTCATTCTAAATCTCATCATGTGTAACATTTTTCTCTGGCACCAAGAAAAGACAAAACAAGGTCTGAGCCGTATTTCTGTGGAGAAGGGACTTTCTGAAATATCAGATACTAATGAGCACCAAAGTTATGACTATTTTTACATCTTTTTCTCAAAATCCTCTGTAATGGTAATTAAATGGTCTTAAAACTATTAATAAACAGTGGTGGTAAAAGGCAAGTAGTTAGCCACGTGGTTCAGTTTTCTGTGAAGGAGTGTAACATGCAAGAGAAAAATGTTGGTCCGTTTTCAGGTGGGATAGTGGTTGTTCTCCTTAAGAAAAGTTATCAAGTTTATGTGTAAATACTCACAAGAATTTATCATATTCTGAGGACAGCGTTCTGAGCATGTGAGGTATTTTAACATGGAGTGGTGGTGAAAAGTAATTTGGAACCACACAGACCTGAGGTAAGAGTCCACAGTGGTGGTCTTTGGAAATTATTTAAGCTCTCTGGGTCTCAGTTTCCTTAACTGTAAAATGAGGGTGATTGAATCCTTCTCATCAGATTGTTCTGAACATTAAACGAAGTGATGCAGGCTCGATGTTTAAGACAGTGCCTGGCACCTGAGGGTGTAACTGAGTCATGTTTGCTGTCATCATCATCAACATCATTATTGATTAAAATTTCTATAAAACTTCGAAAGACTGAAGTGGGTGGGTAAGAATGTAAAGGGAGTGAGTATGGAAGTGTTCACTCTGCCTCAAAACTTTTTTCTGTTTTCATCTCTTTGTTCTCTTAATAGGAATGAATCCTTCCAAAACCAAACTAGAACTCCAGAAGCACCTGACAGCATTAACTAATCAGGAGCAAGCAATGATTTTTGAGGAGGTCCAGGTACAGTACTAGGTTTTAATTTCCGTATGGAAAGAAAAAGCAGCAGCTTACCTGTGAAATGTTATTTATTAAAAAAAAGAGCAAACCAGAGCCATCAGAGCCCCGTGAAAGTGGCCCCGGGTGCTTCTGGTTTAAGCTTTTATAGCCCTGTGGAGGGGCGGGGTCAGAACTGCAGAGTCACATCAGGTCTTGGTTTTCATGTGAAAACAACAAAACCAGAGAAGCTCTCCTTTAACAACATTTTAGAATGAGAAGAAGGAAATTATAAAGTGGAAAGAGCCTCAGCCTGGGACAGAATACTGGACTTCTGGTCCCTGAGCTCTCGTCTGCTCCGTGGGAACCTCTGCCAGCCCCTTCCCGTTCCGGATCTCAGCCTTAAGTGTGGGACTCAAAGGAGACCATGTTTTATACCTTAAATTGCATATTAATTGTTCCTCCTCCCTTTTATTTTTTTGTTTTGAAAATAAATGTCGATGATATCTGCTTAGAGCTGTATAATTAATATAGTAAACCTAAACATAAACACAAAACGCAAAACAAGAACCACGCTCTGGGCTTTCTGCATGAAACCTGGAAGCTCGCTCTTACCCTTGCATTTAGATGCAGCGTCTCTCGGGGAGACCGTGCTGCGTGTGCCGGCATGCCTGTAGTCTGTTCATTATGAATCTTTAATGAGCTCATCAAAAATTTTATGTCTTCTGTAGCCCAGGAGCATTTTCTAGGGTTTCCTGGCACTTTTCTAGGGAGGAGAGTACATCAGAACAAAGAATAAATATCTCTTTTTCGGGGGAGAGGAGGAAAGCGGCAGGGGTCTTGCAAATAGAGGAGTCATTAAGCAATACGAGCAGCTTGCGGCTCTCCCTCCATGCTGGGGAGAACCTGTATACTTAGGGCCTGTGATCTCTTTGCTGTTAGTGTGAAAAATTGAAGGATTGTCTTTCTTTTAATCACATGTTAGAGTTCTCTTAATCCCTGTTCTCCTTCCACAGTAGGGTTGGCATGTGTTTACGGAAGGAAAACGTAGGAAGATTTTTTAAATTTCATAAATAGCTGAGAATGTAATTTTCATGATTTTTAATTACCTTTAAATTTCTTGTTTTCTTCTGACTCAACTCAAGACACACACCACTTTGTTTTTTCTTAAAGAATGTTTAGAGTTCTAAGTACACAGTACCCTGAAACAAATTTAATGGGCTTGGTACTTAGAATTCATAAGCAGATAAATGACGGACAGTTCGCTTCTGACTGTTAATACATTGCAGTGGAAACCAGGCCTTTTTTCGTCTGATGCCAGCCCACTTGCTGTCAAGTCACTTTGGGGAACATCTTTCTAGCAAGCGTAGAAAAGGCATATTCCTCCCCTAATATGAGTTTTCTATTTTATATAGACAGCACAGTGTAGCTTTCCCAAAAACAGTG